AATTAGCACTTCTAGCATCTATTGCTTCTTCTTGTTGAATCGCTTAATGCTGCTTCTATTGAAAGTCGCTTTGGACAAAAGCATCTGCTGAATGACTAAACGTAACTGCTAACCTATGCAACTTGTCCTTTAAGATTAGTGTCAAACAATTAAATAGCGTATATCTCAGTGAAGTAGTATGTGATGGCAGGAATATAAGCACACGTGTGACATTGGGTGCAAACTGTTACAACAGCTCTGCTACTAATTCTGGGGCTTGCCTTGAGGCCGTGCTAAGAATACATGATGAAATGGGTCAACAGTGCAGTGATATAAAGTCTTTCACACTTTTAAATGTCCATCAAATCATCATTATGGCTCGGGTTACTGGAGTCCTGCCTGACCTTAGCCGCCAACACACAAACGACTGCATAAATCACAGCCGGATCAAACAAAACGATGCCATTAAGTTTTAAAGGGTGCCATTCATCCTACATTTCAGCTCTTAACCTGGAATTTTTTTTTCCTCTTTTAGATTCGATGTTTCATCTGAGTTCTAATAAAAATGTGAGATAATGTGCAAATTGTCTGGCGGATGAGTCACATCCTGAAGCCCAGCAGCTGCAGTAATAAACACTATTACTGGATGCAGATCTCTGATCTGTAACAACAACCACATTCAAATATTTATCTGATTTAATTAGAGGAGGAGGAAAAATAAGAGCTGAACTATCATCTTTAACAGTGGTCAACTATGACAGTAGATGCCAGATGGTTTACTTTAAGGAAGGAGATCATACAAACAGTGACTATGTTTACATGGACATCAGTGATCAAAGTATTTGCCCTAATCTGAATAAGACAAGAATATGATGAAGCTGTTTATATGAGTTACTTTTTAAATGCTTCTTTCAAGATCCTGTTTTACATATTATAGCACACAGTTTGATTAACCCAGGTGTCCAAAGTCGGTCCTGGAGGGCCGATGTCCTGCATATTTTAGTTCCAACCCCAATTAAACACACCTGAACCAGCTGACCAAGCTCTTTCAAGGTATACTAAAAACTTCCGAGGAGGTGTGTTGAAGGAAGTTAAAGCTAAAAAATGCAGGACAACGGCCCTCCAGGACCAAGTTTGGACACCCCTGGATTAACCCTTGTGCACTGTTCAAAAATGGACTTCCCTTTTGTTATGTTAGGGATGAAAACATGCACTGAATTAAACTGCTGTAAACATGCATCAGTTAATTTATTTAATTTTATTTTTTGCATAAATCTGTTAATCATCCTCAGTCCTGATAAAAACAACTAAATGTTTAGCTCTTTAATTGCCAAATTCATAAATGACGTCACTGATTTGGTGAAATAAAACACAAAATGACATGTTTTCAATATAAAAGGTATTTGAGGACTTGATTTTTTCTACCTTTTATCAAAGTCTTGGACATGTGAATGATTAGTAATACGGATGTCCCAATCAGGTTTTTTGCCCTCATTTGATTGAGTATCTCTTCCGATACCGAAACCTGATCTGATACTTCTATAATAAATAAAAAACAGAATGAATAAGAGCGAAGAAACAGTCCCAGGTGGGAGTCAATCCATTGTGTGGTAAGCCTTAGAAGACATGGGAGCTACGGGCGAACTCCAGATGTCTGTATTGAATGAAACATGCGGCACATCTTATAACAGGACAAGTAGGTCGGCACCAGTGGTGTTGTGGTTAGTGTGTCAACACATGCACACCGGTGTTCACGGCGACCCGAGTTCGATTCCGCTTCGTGGTCCAATGCCGACCCTTCCCCTCTCTGCTCCCCATGCTTTCCTGGTAATTCTCTCTACTGTCCTATCGAATAAAGGTAAAAACCCCTAAAAAATATTATAACAGGACAAGTAGTTTGTCAGAAGTCTTCTTATAAAGGGCTGGCAAAGCTTTCTCTGTGAAATAGTAGCGAGACGGCATTTCAAATTGAGGTTCAACGTTTGTTTTTGAGGCTTCTTATCAGATTGATTGTGTTAAATGTTGTCTTTTCTCTTCTACCTCCTGCAATGCCAAGATTGCATATCACACAATGCTGGCAATGTAGTCGACATCAACTTTTTGTGTGGAGTCAAAAAGGTCTAACTCTGTGCCACCGCATTATATATATATATATATATAGTACTCGTCAGAAGGTAACGTCCGATTCTGATTGAGTCTAAAATCGTGTGTTCCGGCACGATTTCTGATCATGTGATCGGATCTAGACATCGCTAATAAGTAACAACATCGGCTTTGATGCATTCCTAGATTTTTATTTTTTCTTCCTAATTTACTGTTTGTGGCTGTTTTTGCCCCATTGACTTCCATTATAACCACATTCGATGGTGCATAAACACACAGTCTTCGTTTTTGTTTACTCCATGTAGTTCTGTGAGCTAAGATGCATATTTTGATTTTCTCAGTAGCATCAAGGTAAGTGCGCTCACACACTCGCAGACACACATACATACATTTGAATTTGTTGTACTCCATTTATAATCCAGAAATTAAATGGGTTATCTAAAATTATCTAAAGGGTTAATGGTGACAACTGATGATCAACAGTAAAAATTACACAGTTGAACTCTTCCCAAGGGGGAAAACCACCAACAATCAAAAATGTATGATTATGTGGTGTCATGGTTTTGTAAAAAAAAATGTGGTTATAATGAAAGTCAATGGGGCAAAAACAGCTGCCAACAGAAAATTATGGAGAAAAAAAAATTAAATCAATCAAAAGCAATGCATTCAAAGGCAATGTTGTTTGACATGTCCAAGACTTTGATAAAAATCCAGTCCACAATTACTTTTTATATTGAAAATGTGTCATTTTGTGTATTTTATAATTTATTTTGTCATTTTTTGTCAAATTTATTTTTGTCATTTTGGGTATTTTATTACTCCTATAATTTTCTAAACAAATTAGTAGTTTTGATCAGGGCTGAGGTTTATTTATGCAAAAAAAAAAAAAAAAAAAGTTATCAGATGCATGTTTACAGCAGTTTAATTCAGTGGATGTTTTCATCTCTAACATAACAAAAGGGTAGTTAATTTGAACAGTGCACAAGGGTTAAAGGTTAATAAAAAAATTGCATTACTTGTAAGTAACTTATGGAATGATGAATAGTTTGCCATGGTCTTGTATTAAAACTCATTTCTTTTTATTGGCGATTAATAATAAACACATTTTCTGTGTGTCAGTTACTAACCTCTAAATCAAACACTATTTATTTCTGCATAAACTACCAAAACATTGAAACCAAAATCACTTTTTACAGTATATCAATCTCAAAGCATATTGTATACTGTTGATAATTAGTTTAAGCAAACCAGTCAGAAACCATAATGTTATAACACTAAATGCTTATTACATGTTATTTTTCATGTGATACATGGTCTTCCTAGCATGTTTCATCAGTTATATTGAAGTCTCTTGGCAATGTGCGCTTTACGTAAGTGACATAGTAACATTAAAAACAAAACATCAAACAAAAAGTCTTGTACTTTGTTTCCCCCCGTTTTTGATTTTGTGCACAGAATTATAATTAATATATTAATAATTGCCTTGAAAAAGGGTTTATAAAACTGTGTTTTGCAGAGATTAGACTCAAAGGCTTTAGCAAACTGCTGCTTTTATAATTATTCTTTTGTAAATATTCATTTAAAAGCTTTCATTTTTCAGCAGAATGTAGATAACATAGTTATTCTGCATAATTAATTTTGATTTTGAAATATATCTTAGATTTTTTTTTTTTTTTTTTTTTAAGGCAGGGAGTCCTGCTGTTTGGCAATTGCTTATGTCTTCAAACCTAAAGGCATAAAGTAGTCGAAACCCAAAATACTGTACTTCAGCATTTTTCTTTTTGCCCTCATCATTTATCTGTGCAACAATTGAACTGCATATTGTGGGAATATTATTTTACGCTTCCTCGTTCCAGACCTTAAAAGAACTAGTTTTGTGTGGCAGATGTTTTAAATGCAACTTTTTAGTAACTATTGCTTAACATTTATTTATTTATTTTCTTGTCAGCTTAGTCCCTTTATTAATCCGGGGTCGCCACAGCGGAATGAACCGCCAACTTATCCAGCACATTTTTATGCATCGGATGCCCTTCCAGCCGCAACCCATCTCTGGGAAACATCCACGGACACATTCACACACACTCATACACTACGGACAATTTAGCCTACCCAATTCACCTCTACCACGTCTTTGACTGTGGGGGAAACCGGAGCACCCGGAGAAAACCCATGCGAATGCAGGGCAAACATCCAAACTCCTATTGCTTAACATATATATTGAAAATGATTCAAATTCTTAGAAATTGAAACTAATAAATAAATAATAGAAAATAAAAATAAATTTAGATACATTTTACAAACAAAACTCTTTATGGCTAAAATCACATTGCAAAAAGTTCATGATTTCGAATAATTGATTCATGTTGTTCCAGCACAAATAGATTAGGTTTATTTATTTATTTTTGGACAAATTTAAGTGGATTGAACAAAATAATTGCATTCAAGTCCCAGATGATCCAGTTGGCATTTCTGTCCTGGTGCTCCAGTTTTCCCTACAGTCCAAACACACGCGCTATAGGTGAATTGGGTAAACTAAATTGGTCAGAGTATCAGTGTGTGTGAGTGTGAATGGGTGTTTCCCAGTACTGGGCTGCGGCTGGAGGGCATCCGCTGTGAAAAACATATGCAGTAATAGTTGGTGGTTCATTCTGCTATGGTGACCTCTAATAAGTCAGAAACTAGGTCGAAGAAAAATGTATGTTTTTTTTAATGAAATATTTCACTCAACTTTCTAGCAACGCTCTCTTTTTCTTCCTCTGTATTTCTTTATCGCATCATTCCTTATGTAATCGAATAATCAGATATTCATTCTCATTAAGTGTCTTGGCCTTGTCCTTTTTTTAACTTCCATATTTTTTTTCTTTACAGAATGGATGAGGGTAATCACTCGCATCTTTTTTTTATATATATATTTGCAGATCCTTCAAACACTTGATTGGAGGTCTTGACGACGTCTCAAACAAAGGCTATGATGATGCTGGCGCCAAAGCAAAGTAAGTCCAACACTCGACATCTTTTGATGATATTATCAGACTGTATGGAGCCATATACATGAAACTGATTCTTTGTGATTCAGTCAAGGATGGTGCATTCATAAAATCAAGCTTGTACAGTGTTTCATTCCCCCTCCCCCTTATTTTCTACACTCTAAAACCTACAACAACAAAGTATAGAGAATCAAGACACAAAGTAAACCCTCTGCCTTCATTAATAACACTTTTGTCTGCTCTGTGAATTCATCTCTCCTGTAATAAGTTCAGCCTGAATGATGAAAGTCCACAGGCAGAAATTAATTGGTCTTTGTCTATTTTTTATTTGATTTGCATGTCTGGTCATGACTTCGACCTCCTTGTGGCTATAATTATCTCAGCTAGACAGGTTTTCAGGAATGAAGAACAAAATATGAACAAATGCGTTATAGTTCTCACCATATCTAGAGACACGTCCAGATTGCACAAACTGTCTACCCATGATGGATTTCAAAATAACACAGATTATTATTAGAAACGATGCTATCAAAAGTGCAAAATGTAGGGCTAAGTCAGCTGAGAACTTATAGTGCTGTGTTTCGAAACAGAAAATGAAAATACTCTGAAGCAGCAGCTAATTTAGTCGTTTCTACAACTTAAATAATTCCCAACTTCCTGCGGCGTGAACATGATGGGCTTTGATGTATACAGTCTTACAGATCAGTACAGGTTGTTTAGCTCTTTTGTCAGAATTTGAATGATTGAGTATATCATGATTAAGGTAATGACTAGATGATGTTTGAACAAGCCATGTCAGTGACTTGCATTTTAAGCTAAGCAACATGCCAAAGCAACATGGAAACCTGCAGTGATCCAAGTGTGCCCTCTTGTGGCTACATTAGATATACATGTCCAGTTCAAACATCGCAAATTAGTATTCTCTTGACAGTGTAGAATACTGTTTGGTTTTAATTATATGTTCACTGTTTTTAAATTGCTGTAGACTGATAAACCTAGTTCAACAAGGCATGGAGTGTTATGTTGCACTAAAATGAATTAGTGTTCTATTTTACAAGGTTTGTGCCCAGTACAGCGGCCTGAAGAAGTATAATTATATGCAAGTAACTTGCAGATACTGTATGAGGGGGTGGTTTCAATATGCATGCAATTATATAGCTGCATGTTGTTGAGTGCAAGCTGTAAATAGATGTGATAATAGATGCGTGTTTAATGAAGAGAGTGCTTGTTAAAAGGCCAGACATGAGCACGAGTTGAGGCTGAAGTGCTGAATTATCAAACACAAATTAACCAGTAGCTGTAGTCTGTCTTTTTTTTTTTTTACTTTAGTTGTATTTACGGATTAATTCATCAACAAACAAACAAACAAACAAACAAAAATACTATCGTCATTTACTCATCTATGTATTTTTCCAATCCTTATGACTTCCCAACCCAAAAAGTGACATTTTGAGACCTGGTTTGTTTTGGTTAAATTCGATTTGAACTGATTTTTTTCCAGTACACAGTGAACAGTACTAGTATATCACTGACAAATGATGTGGATTAAATACTGAGCTGATAACCATTTCCCCTGATATTTTAGTTTTTAGTAGCTGAATCACCATTGTTCTCTGATCAGTCAAATGGGTATGTTGCACTGTGACAAGATACTCTATACAGCACAAAATAATAGCACTGAATGATGTTATAAATGCCTAACATCCATTATTTTTGACTGGAGGCTTGTGTTAAATTATTTACACATTACCATTTTGGAACATATGGTTGCTTATTTTTAAAGAGCCCCTATTATGCATTTAAAAAGGTCATATTTTGGTTTTGAGGGTCTATTACAACAGGCTGATGTGCATGGAAGGTCAAAAAATACTTTCATTGTCTCATTTATTTTTACCTAATTCTCCCATCGACTCCCATATGATTCGTTCAGCAATTTATTTGTCTCCAAACCCCTCCTTAGGGCAATGCTAATCTGCGCTGATTGGTCCGATGACCCAGTCTATTGCGATTGTTCGACTGCATTCAGCGCGAGACAGAGAAAAACACCCACCACGACTTATCAACAATTTTAAGTAGTCAAATTGCAGATTGTATGTGTGAGCCCAACACAGGAGCGCATTAAAGCAATGCAGTTTAACACCAGCATATTGCTGTATTCGCAACCATGACACACATTCAGTATTAATCCACACAGTGGCAAAAGCTGAACTATTTTACAACTTGACCACAGCAAGAGTGTAGGAACAGCTGACGCTGGCAATGACAAACGGCAGTGGAACGCGAGTTCACAAACACATTTAAATCTGTAAGGAAAGTGGCACGCGTCATGTTTTCAACGTGGTTTTAGACGCGATATAAGAATATAAAGAGTTAAGCAGATACAGTAAAAGCCACGTAGAGCAGTTACGAGTAACAAAACACAATTTAATACACATTTTAAAAGCTAAAGAAAACAGGGAGGCAACCATTTTAATCGCACTTAAGTTACTTACACTTGTGAAATGGAGGAAGAAACTGATCCATGAACTGTGTACTGTAAAGTTCATGTCAAGCTCTGACAGCCCCATACATCAAAAGTCTTTTCTGATCCATCCTTCAACAAACGGCCGAGGAATCCCCCATTGTAAGCATGTGGATTGCTGAAGCACTTGTCAGAAAAATGACGGGAACACAGCAGAACACTGGGGCTTATAATGTTGAGGTTTTTTTTGCAAAAATAAACTTGAACCACTGACTCTTCACAGCCTCATCCTTGGGTAGGGAAAATAACCCTAACTTTCCCTCACACTTCAGAGCACAGCGTCTTTGAGATATGATTCAACTGGGATCTGCTACAGTGTTTGTGGGCGGGTATTTCAATTTTCCCGGGTCTGTGCGTCCAACAAATGTTCTATTTCAAGTTCTGTATGAACGTCACACCCACACGGTTAAAGATTCATTACCATAACGATTTATTTGAACCACTAAGAGTCAACTCTTTTATCGATTAATCAATAGTTTTAAGCACGGTGCACTTTCAGAGTTAAGCCTTAGCTGGATATTTCACCTCACGTAAAGTTGTGCTACACAATGCATGGAAGGTCATTTTCAAAAACCCAATGTTTAAATCACAAAAAAAAAACTTAAATGAAACTGAATTCTAAGAGTTAATTTGATTATCTTGATACTATTTCTACTTTTATTTTTGTATATTTTACAAATCAAAACTTGCAAAACTGATACAGAATTTTATTAATCGAGAACTGATGCATAAGGGGTCCTGAACAAGCACCTATATATAAGTTGAAAGTGTTCTAAGAAAGGCAAGACATGTCTAGAACCACTAAATAATTTGTTGTGCATATGTAAGTATTAAAGTGACCCAACTGAATGAGAACTGATAGGATAAACAATTGTTTGTTCAGTGTATAAGCTCTGAAAACGTCTTTGGTTATTTACTCCCTGTTCTGTGTGGGAATTGAACAATCATTTTTGGCATTTGAGGTGGGTTTGCTAACAAGGACATGTCCTCTAGCATATCTTTCGAACCCAGGGGAGTGTGACTAGCTGGTCTCTGTAACATTTACCAATCTTTTATACCTGTCACGACCAAATTGGTCACAGTGTAACCCCTCACTTTCTACTCTGAGTGAGATTCAAAGCAGTCTTTCCAAACTGGCTGGCAGGCACACTTTGCGAGCCTCATGCATTCTTTAGAAGCCAGAGTTGTGATGTGTACCTATTTACTATTAGTAGCTGGCCTTGTTACATTCACTACCCTAAACCTCGCTCTCATTTGGGTCACAGAACCAATGTAACCCTTCCAGTTATGTATACCCACGACCTCACTGCGAGTGGGATTAAAGTCAGAAATTCCAGCATGGCAGACAGGCACACTAACAAGAATGCAAATAACTGCAGACTCCAGCTCATCTTCTGGGGCTTGGAGAGTAAAGTTTACCTGCTCCACTCTTACTAGCTAGCTTCTGTTTCACTCACTCACTAAAACCTCACTTCTTCTGGGTCACGACACCAATGTCACCCTTCCAGTTATGCTCGCCCGCTCTGAGTGGGATTTGAACTTGAATTTTGTGCATGAGAGACAGGCACACTAACAAGAACACTAGGACCGCAGCCTCTAATGCACCTCTTGATGCCAGGGAAGTGAGGTTTACCTAACAGCTCTTACAAGCTGGCCTCCGTTACACTAAGTATCCTGACCCTTGCTGTCTTCCAGTTCACCAATGTAACCTGTCCTGTTCCCCTTGATCCAAATCTGAGTGGGATTCAAATCAGCATTTTCTGCATCACAGACAGGCACACTAACAAGATCCCTAAAGACTACGTAACCCCTTCTGGTCACTTAATCATGAGCAGGAGTTGAACTAGCATTTTGGCATTAGAGACAATGGCTGTTTCTTAGTATGCTTTTTTAAGTGATCTTGCGTGCTTGTGTTCATGTAGCATCATCATCAACCGCCAAATTTCAGTTACAATACTCAAGAACGAAAGGCATATAACAGAACCCAGATGCTTTCTTGATATCGAGGATGCATCAATGAAGACTTGAGCACAGTACTCACTTTAAAAGTCCCATAAGCCATTGTAAGGCTTTTTCATTCATTTGTAAGGCTTTTGTGCATGTCATATATATACTGAAAATAAATAAAAATCTTAAATGGTTTAACGAATGATATAATAGTTAATGATTTCACGTTAAATTGTGTGAAGGTCATGTGACCCTCAGGATAAATGCAGCATATCATTCCTCACAGGATGTGTTCTCTGTTCTCGCGAGATCGTTCTTCCGAAGTAACTTGGCAAGACTGCTCTCTACGAGAACACAAGTCGATTCTCTACCTTCTTGCAATTGAGAAACAGCCAAGCACACCAACAACGACAATAAAAAGACACACCACCTAAGCACATGGTAGTGATGCTTACTCGCACAACTCTTGCTAGCTGGCCTATGTCCCTTCTATTCCCTCGGCCTTAGTCACAGGATATGGAACTTCACTGGTTGTCTT